CCATCATTTGGGACTGAACCAGCTGATCTTAATTTGCACTGACAAGGGGCAGGCTTGCTTTCTAATTACTGAGAGAGTTCAGCTGGTGTCTTTTCTTTCCATGCCTTTTTAAACCTCCCTTTCTTCATGTGTTCAATACTTTTTCCCTGTGCCATTCCACGTTATTACAAATAACTTCATTTCTGGACTTTCATGGTTTGATTTCTTTGTATGTATGGATCACTTGGGTTGTTACTGACATCTGGTGAAAGTTTCATGTCATTAGCACCTCTAGTAATATATTAACTGAGAAAAATGGTGGCATGTTCAATACTTACTTTACCCGCTGTATATGTACTGTATATATATTTTTAAATCAGATTGGAGTTGCTTAGGAGGGGATTGCAGGGGAAGAACCATTAAAGGTGTCCTTACCATTAAAAATCAGAAAACATATATTTTTATTCCATAACATATGTGTATATTTGTGAGTGTTTGCATGTATATTCACCCTGGCAAACAATCTTGTCATGAAGCAAAAAGTAGCAGCTCATAGCTGTGCCCATTGTTAAATCTGCTGTGTGGGTGTACTGTATTACAGCTGAATTAATAACACTGTACACTTGTTCTTCATTAAGCAGGATCTGTTCAGTGTTTTGTGCGTGCTTGTTTTGTTTCCCAGATATGYCTATCTCAAATCCATGGGAGGTGTGTAAGCACACATTTAACAAACAAACAAACAGTAATTAGTTCATGTAATGGTTCTCCATTACATTTCTCAGTGGCAAAACTCTTTGAAAGGCAACCCAAGCTCTGTTGCATTATAATTAACAGTAGCTTGTGCATTCCCCTAGAGGTAGCAGTTTATAGGGAAGGGGAAGTGCAAAAAGAGAGACAAGAAAAAACCTCAGTACATACTTGCTTGTTTTTATTTCTATATTTACTACATTTTAATACCCATACATATCAACAATGAACAGTTGGACAAGCCACCCTATCAAGTAATGTGAACTGAATGCTGCTGTCCAAACTGCTTTCTCTTTCATTTCCCCACGTTTTTTACTGCCAAATTCCATTTAACTCTCTGTACTCCATGTCAATTATATGTTGATGCCAGTTCTCACTGTTGGCCTGTAGAGCATGCAGATCCAGGTCTTTTATTTGTAGAGAGAAGATGGCGTACACCAACTAAACTGTTATTTCTTACACTGTAAGTTGTCACTGAACTTACTAAAAAAACTATTTGTTTACGTATGTACATAGAAATAGGTTATGTCCTTCCAGAAATGTCTTCCATTTAAACATCCAAGTCAGATGTTTGTTGCACCACTTACTGCTTTTCTTAAGCCTTGACTGTTTTGCTCAGTAGAGATCAACACTGTACCTAAACTGAGAGCTTTTCAAAAAAATCCAAATTTCAAAACACAAAACTAATAGACATCACATAACTAAATTTGAGGGCATCTACAGTTGCCAAGTGGTCTGGTGTCTCTGTCCTTTAAAATTYATTTGAATTGTCCCAAGGTAATGAGAGATGGTAACTTCAAATCCTTCTGTGTGTTGTTCCAAATGGCAGAGTGGAAAATCTATATGTGTATATATGCATCATAATGATGTCCTGAGAGTGCAGATCATAATGGCTGCAGGTTCTAGACATAAATGAGCATAAATGTGAAGGAAGATGCCCAAAAATGCATTTACAGATAAAAATCAGCCAGCGAGAGTGTCTGCAAGGAGTCAAAGATGGACATTTAATTTTCTGAGCGTCTTTTTGGGACAGTACAAAAAATTAAACACTGTTCTAAAGGTGAATGAAATCTGAACCTGTAAATTGACATGATAATCCTTTAGTTTATTGTCTCATATGCTGAAAATAGATATTTTCTTTGATAGATGGCAGGTTGTGTGCTACACAAAGCCTTATTTGTTGGCAGTTAAATGTTACACAGGGTGACTGTTTTAAATGATTGTTGTTGGAGTGTTGGTGGTTCTGCAGGCCACTTAAGAGAGGAATGAAGTAAATAAACAGTCAACTTAAGGTATCCATGCTAGAGTTGGTTTATTGAAAAGGCCAAAAGGAGCTCTTGTGTCTGAGAGGACACAGTCTAGGCTTTCAATGTGCACTTGTGCCTGAGTCAACACAGTGAGTCATCCTCTGAATGGCAGCTAACGGTGGGGAGGTTCTTTACTTTGCTACGTTACATTGCAGCAGGCCAGGAATACGTTAGATGGAGCATGAGCATTTTAAACTTCATTTAGGGACATGCGAGTTCGGTCGAGGTGACCATGTGTACCATGTACCCCACACCAGAAATGGACTCTATCAGAGGTTCTGGCACTCTGGTACAAACCAGACTGTTTTACTGTCCAAAAGCCAAGGCTTTGTGTGCAGTGTAAATGACTGTGTATAAATATATATTCATATATAAATGATGTGCCATCTCTGCAGCATTTCTCCTCTTTATTACACTATTTGTGCTGGAGATACTGCCCAAGTTACTAGCTTGAATACACAAAGACAATACTAGGTATCCAGTTTGTCTTTGTCTTCCCTTAAGAGTGTGGTATATTTGCCACAACAAAACAGCAATCAGGGCTCAAGGAAAGAGTGCCTCTGGGTCCAATGTGAATGCCTCAGAAATAGACTAGTATGCACTGTGATAAAACTATGTGTCTGAGGGTCGATTTGATCCATTTTAGACATGGGTTTATGTCAACCTGCTGTGACTAGAGGCAGTGTTTTGTGCATTGAAACCCTTATTCCCAATAGTTTGGGGAGATGTGTATTGATCTGAACTGACAGTTCTGAAGTGGGCTCTTGCATCAACCACCAAAGCACAACCCACTTTTGTGGCTGATATAAGAGAAGCTCCTCCTTAGGGCATATGGACAGGACATGACATTGAAGATTGTATTTTTCCCAAAAGGATCAAGGTGGCTGTTTCAACCAGATATTCTGAGAGCCATTTTGGTCTAATCTTTAGAAATATCAGGTATAAGTGGTGGGTCCCACAGGGACACTGTAGGAGTCTAAGCCCTAACTTGCCAATGACTTTGGAGCCTGTGGTGTGCCTTTTCTACTTTCCTCCTCATGTCAGTAGTCTTGGCCAAAACAAGTATGATGAGGACTGGAGTTCTGCTAGTGGCTCCTGACTGGCAAGATCTGAGATAGTAACATGAACATAATGTCTCTTAGCCAGAGCAGACATGCTGACATAGTCTTAGGGGAAATACTATCACCCAAATGTTGATATTCCCAAGCTGCAAATTTGGCCACTGGATGGGGACCTCTCCACAATCTGCAGTCTTTCTAACACCACAGACATCCAGAGCTTCTCTTGCCAGAGAGCTTTAGTTTGAACAAAGTTGTAGATTTGATCAGTGATTAGCATCAGATCATGGGATCCAACTTTTTTTGGTACAAACTGTTCTCTATCTTTTACAAATCCTTGGATAAGCAATTGACTTTACACTGTGAAGCGTAAACGGAGGAATCAGGCAAATGGTCCTGTATTCTTGTTAAAGGTGTGCAAAAGGTTGTAAGGTCATTGATTATTTAATTTARTGCAAACACAGATTCTTACTAACTGTTGTATTATACCAATACACAAACAGAATAAGGCAACAGATGTCTGTGTGGAGTTGATTATATCAGTGAACAGGTAATTTCGAATATTGCCTTTTAAAAATGTTTAGTCTTTTAAGAGTCTCATCTCATCATATATACAATTCACTGTATATTACTATGTCTGTCAGTACAGTTATTGACTATGGGTATGGTCTGCATGGTGTATGAAGAAAATGTTTGACTTGAATGAAGAACAAAAACYAATTTACATTTTTCACTTTTTTTCTTTGTAGATCCCTGCAGGACTTATCCAAGCAGACAGAGTTGCCTTACGGGACAGTGTTAGACTCTGCAGTATATGATCAAGTACGCTCCAAGGCTATGAACCCATTTGAAAGAGATCCCATGTACTCCCAAATGTGGCGAATGATTAATCGCACCGGAGGAGCAGATAATAATGTTGAGGATTCGCGAGAAGGCATCCGTAAGGTAGGCATTTGTCTTTTTTTATTTTATTATTGTTTATTTAAAATTGACTTTTAACATGTGTGAAATCATGACAGGTCTAAACAAATACCGTAGTCGAAGCACTCCTGTGGAAAATAATAAAAAATGGCACAAGGTGTAGAACAGTTGTGAAATCAGCGCATGTATGCATTACTTATAGCAAGACTGAAGCCACCATCTGCTGGCATTCTATCTTATAATTTTGCTGCTTTTGGCTAACAGGTGGAATGATACTTCTTGTACTGCTGTGCAATAAAAGCATGTTGTGTGAGTTGTCGAAAGATTGCATTTATTGCTATTCTGGTAAAATAAAATAGTCTGAAGGTGATCTGGCTTCTATCAGCAGCGGAATGTTCTACAGCCTTTTTGAGGTTTACTGCATTAGCATACAGCTAGAATGTCACTCAGGGAGTATAATAAAATCCTTGCAACTAACAACAGAAGCCACATAATGTCACTGTTATTATAGCTGTGCAAGCTTTATTTTTTTTTTCATTATACTGGTAAGGGGAAGACTTTTGTGTGAAGTGAAGAAGGTAAAATATCATAAGAAAAGATCTTATGTGTTGATATTTTCATTCTTTATTAATAAAAATTGTATAATCTTGAAGCTCGAAGTTTAATAAAAATGGTGGGCAGGAATCCATATAATTCATAACTCCAAACATCAGTGCTCAAATTTCTTTATTTTTCTTTATTGTATGTTAGCATGATTGACAAGTGCACAAAAAAAGGGCTGGGGCTAACTCACGTAAAAGTGGATTAGTTACATGGCAGGGATATAGAAAACTATTAAACATTAGGCAAAGATTTAAAATATATCCTCTATGTTCTGGTAATGAGCAGATTGTGTAGACACKGTTAAACTTGTTTACCTGTGTCTGACTTCCTGAACATCTGGACTGCAATAGTGGAGAAGCAGCTATTTGGATTTTTAATTTCCTTCTTCAACARAAGTCAATTGAAACGCACCTCATGAGTTTATGGCCAGAACTACACATGTGCTATGCAGTATATTTCCAGAAACACTTATATTGGGCAAATGATTATTCAAATATAAACTCAGACTAAACAGTCTACGTGTAAGTCCTGAAACAAAGGTTGTGTTTCAGTCCATTATCAAGAAGGATGTAGAGCAGTAAGACAGACAAAAAGCGAAAGTGGTGAAAGGTTGCAGAGGATTATGCTTTATTTTGATCCCTAATTCACTACACAGTTTATTTTTTGTATTTTCCCCATTTTTCTTTTTTCCTTTTACTGCTAGATATTTACAAACATCTGTTATTTCTTGCACTTGACCCTCGTCTCTKACCCTATCCCTTTCTTTTCAGCATTCAGCATTCTTTTTTTTTCCAGGTCTCTTTTTTTTAGTCACTTCCACTCTCTCATGTATTCTCATTGTGTTAAAGGCTACAGGGTGCACTCTAGTGGTTTGTTAATATGTGTCTTCCTTCATTATAAGCAGTAYCACAAGTCTTGTTTTTCGAGACTAGCACAGTCAGGTTGTTGTTACTGTTGTCATGATTATACATCTACACTGTAATAAATACAACATAACTGTAAAACAATGTCATTGCATATCCACCTAGAGCCATGTTGATTTCGTTAAACACAATGCAGTAAATTGGCTCCCCTCACTTGAGATTGTAATGCTTCCTTTGGGCCTGCTAGTAAACCAACATACAGGATCTTTGTTAGAACACAATATGTCAAAAGTAAAACTATTTTTTCAACCTGATGCCTTTCAGCCTGCTAAAGTCRCTGGTCATTCTGAGAAATATAACTGGAAGGCTGCCAACAGCATCTGCAGTCGTATTTTCAAGCTGGAGGCTATTTGGGAGGCCATGATGTTATTAACAGACCCCGTGAGCCAGTTGATCTCGGACATCTTCTCTTCTTTGTCTCACTTTGATTTATTTGGCGGTGTCTGTCTTCATCAGCCCCAGTCCCTTTGCTATATTTGATTCCATTGAGGTTAAGAACTCTCTCTCTCTCTCTCTCTCTCTCTCTCTCTCTCTCTCTCTCTCTCTCTCTC